CTGTGCAAGTTCGGCCTGAAATTACAGGGAGAATTACAGTGTGACCAGCCGCAGTATCAGATCTTTATATTCGTTTCTTTTTTTTCTATTGCACTGCATTAACCACACGTGTATTCGAAACTTGGGTATAGAATATTTCACAGTGCGGAAACGCAAAGCTATTAGCTACAAGTCACAATTTCTGTGCCAACTTTGCGTTAGGTTTTCTTTGTAATTTATAGATAATATCAATATGACTTTGTATGTATAATTGTAATGGGGTTGGTTACGCCTTTTAACTGTTTCTTAAAGAAACCGTGAGCGAAGAAAAATAATATTGTTTTATGAATTATATTAATCTATGAATTATATCAATCCTATATTATATTTGATATAGTAAAAAATTATTCTGAATTATTATTAAAAATATATATATTAAAAATATTTTTCTTACTTGAAATATATTAAAAATACTTTATTAGAATATGAAATTTTTTCTTATATATTTGTGAGGGGCTAATAATATTAAATTCGTATTTATTGTGCAAAAAAATTATCAATATAAGTATTATAACCATATTAACATTTTAGATATCAAGATATTTTCTTGATGATTGCGATATATAAAATAATATATTAAAAGAAACAATTGCTGCTAAAGAAGAGATAATAATATAGTATCGATCATTTTAATTTTTTTTTAAGTTTTATGTGACTATGCTTTATTGTTAAAGTTTGAATGAAATTATATCAGCAATTTACAATATTGAAAAGTATAAAAAGATTAATTCGACGATCTGACCAGGTACTAAAACTTTGAATTTCGTGTCCGCGATCTTTGTGGTAGCGTCATTTCCTATCCGCGTGAGCGGGTTCTGACCCATTTCATGAAGAAAGAAGCCAGGTCGGGCCTCTATCGGTTGTCCATCTTGCTTGGCGTGTGACCTTTCGCATCCCTTCGTTACCTGACCGCGTGAATAACGGATAAATAAACAATTTGGATTTCTTGGAGTCTTCTTATCATAAAAGATAAAATTAAAATGTCTACTTTTTTAAATATTTTTATATTTATCTATAACAAAATATGCGAAAACGCGCATTTCATTTTATGTCATAAAACAACTGATCAATTTTAGCATAAAATAAAATTATAAGAGAAAATGTATTTAATGAAAAATGTATAATGAATATATAATGAATTCTCTATCAATTGAGTCATAAAAATGTTTCCTGAAACATGACTCCGAAATTATGACAGCAATAATGCCAAATATTAATTAGAAATACTAATCCTTTTTATTTAAAATATTTAAAATATTATTTAAAATATTAAGTCTTGATTTTTAAAAATATGTAAGTGATTAATAAATAAAATTTGATTAATATATATGTATAATCGATTAATTACACACATTACGAAAAAATTTCAGACTTTTATATACATGATTTGACATTGATTTTATAATCTTATTATTATCTTTATCTTTGCCTTTATCTTTATTTTTGCACCATGCTATTGTGATTGACTGATATCATTTCTGTGCCTGCAATTATGTTTGCAATAAACTAATTGAATTCCTTGCTTGTATTCTTGTGCTGTCGATGATAAATATTTAGTACTGTTCGAAAGCTACATTTCGCCATTTAATTTTGAATGTAACATTTTTAATTGGATAACAAATTATTTGAACAACAAATAATGATAATCAAAAAAGATGCATTATGAGAAATATTTTATTTATGATTAAACATATAACATTTTGATTTAAATATATTTTATACATACATACATAAATGTTTTGTTTAATTAGTTTAAAAAATATTTGACAAAAATTTTATTTTCATACTTTTTATAAAGCTATTAATTATTAATTAACTAAATTAATTAACTGACAATCAATATACATTAAAATTAGTGAATTTAATTGAAATAGAATTTTATATCAAGTACTTTGTGAAATCTTGTAAATTGCATTTAGGGTAGATAACATTTAATATATATTGAAAAATCAAAATTTTCGCCTTTTCGCGTTTTATCAATGTAAATATCAATATACAAAGTTTGCTTCATTATTCAGAAAGAATAAAATATTATTTACTTATGTTTAGAAAAAACAAAACATTTTTATTATTTTTAATTATATAATTAAATTAAGAAGATATAGTTATCTACGCAGATATCAAATTGTCAATGATATATTATGAAGATCAATGTTTTATTATTATGATTGTTAGAATAATTTTCCCTAATCTGATTTTTCATATTTATGTCACCAGTAATAATTCCGCTTAGGTCATACAAATGGAAATTATAGGTGTAGAAGGGTGCAAAAGATCACGAGGTTGCTTGTAATGTACTATTCAAATTATAATTTCAACGATAGACGCAGCACGCTAAAGCAAAATTGTGAAATCTTTTCTTCTTTTTTGGTAGTTATTTTTTATAGTATTATTATAACAAAATTCATTATAAATATATATCGAAAAATATATGTCGAAAAAGTGCGAAAAATTTAAAATATTCTATATGTTTTCTTTTTGTCAATTAATTTCTGTCGGGAAAGTATTAAAACATTAAACTCGATAGTAATCCGCAACTGTGCTTTGTCGTTGCTCTTGAGATTCTTGATAAGAGAATATTAATTTTTCTAATAAGGTCAATGTAATAAGCCCTTGTATCTGCACTAGTGAGACGCATAATGTTCGTTAACCACGTACCGCAACATTGAATAGGCACTAGATTGCCTATGGTACAATTCATAAGGAACAAAAACTCTGGGATGTGAACTATATGGCCACAATATGATCGCCCGATGATTCAGTGCTGGACGACACGTAGGAACTATAAATTAAGATTAATTGGGCGAATTACATACATAACATATTTGACGTCAATCTTCACGCATAAAAAATATAAAATGATTAGATCAATTTCTAGCATTTGAACATGCATGTTTATATTCGACGAAAACAGCAATAATATCCAAACAGAATATATGCTCAAAACATATCAATATTTATAAAAATTTATATTTTAATTTTATAGGCATATCATTTAAATATTAGCAATTTTATTATTTTCATGTTATTTGACAAGATTCTTAAAGATAATATGTATATTGTGTTATTATAAAAGAGTTTAATTCTTTAGAGTAATAATATTAAAGTAACAATTCTCTGAAGTAATACTCTGAAGTAAGATTACATATGCTTTTATTTTTACACTTCTCCAAAAATACCTAGAGAGATTATCATAATTCCAAGGCGCGTTTATAATTAGAGATTGTAAACTACTCTTCCACTAACCTGTTTATTTTCTTCTATGATGAGGGGTCTACGTTACCAGTTTGATAAAAGCACTCTACGTCTGGTCGATCGCACGAAGGATATATACTTGAATAATATGCCTTGACCTCTCTTTTCGTTTTACAACGTCACTGTATCTTGAATTCACTAATGACGTCATCGAAAGCTTACCTCAAGAGCATTGCTCGCTCAGTAAAAACGATCTTAATGAGTTCAGCGCGGTTTGCGTGTCGGGTTATTTGGTTCCCTTATCACGTCCGACGGAACCCTAAGTACGTAATTTTTTTTTAATCAATCTCATCGGCCGGAAATGGCAGTATTCAAATCACACGTTGCCCATATATAGTCTCATTTTTCATCTGTTCATATCGCGTTAATTATATCGCAATTGGTAATAGACTTATTACCTAGCTACGAATTACTGCGACCCGATTAATAGATCGGAAACATACATAAGCAAAATGCGTCGGTCGATATGAGAATATTATACGAAAATAATATTTTGTGTATTGTTTTGTGCATTTTTTAAAGTTATTTTATAATTCCTTTTAATTTTTATATTTTCATTTTTCTATATGTATAATTCAATATTTCGTTTTAATTTAAACGAAATTTTTTAGAAATATATTTTTTAGAAATATATTATATTCCCTTATCTTTTTTAATCATATTATCTTATAAAAAAAAAATATTATCCTTTTAATATTATCTTTAATAAAAAAATTTTTTTTTTATACACATTTATATGTACAACATATTGCAATAAAAAATCTGTCATAAAAATTATTTTACTATTTTCTTTATTTAATAAATATGCAAAAGTTTTATAGTCAGCTCTTTAGCTTTATTTGTCCGGTCTTATGATATTTTGCAGATTCAATCTGTTGTCGCAAGAAATTAATCTATTGCTTAATATAAATATATGAAGTTATTTTTTTCAATATATCATAAGAAACGGAAATAATATGAAATATAAATAAGACGAAAAATATTTTATCTCCATACACACATATACATACATACATATATATATATATATATATACATATATGTATCTCCATATATACATATATTTATCTCCATATACATATATGTATATGTATATGGAGATAAAATCATAATATAAAAACATTTTCTTTTCATAGTTTATGTCTTAATCGATTATCCGTTCCATGAATGATAATTTGATCGAACAATCAAAGAGTGTATCAGTCGTGAAACGGATAATCGACATTAATTAAATAATATACGTCTGATTATTACAATAATGGTGATTTAAATCACTTCAATCATTTAAAACAATCGCGTTAAGTTCTATTATTATAAAAAAATCTTTGTCAATAATTAAAAAAGAAATGAAAAGAACATGCAATTAATTCGATGCAAACAATATCATCGATGCAGACAATTTGCCAAATTTATCATATTTGGTTTATAATATAATCAATTATAACAAGTTTTAAATATTGTAAGTATTATATAATATATTAGTATATGTAATAAATATATATATATATATATATATATATATATATTTAAAAAAATTAAAATATATATTTTAATTTTTTGTATCAAATATAATTCAAAATTGAATAATATAAAATGATGAGTCTCTTTTCATAACGAGGAATCATCAGCGTAACTGACCCGGGATAGATAAATGACGACCCAAAGAATAAATGTCTTCCTCGTACTAAAAGATATGGAGGGGGCACTTTTATCTTGACCTTTCACTTCTATATGTTTCGTTTGGACGAGGTTCGTTCATACTACGTACTGCGCTGAATATTTAACAGTCTCATCTCAGTAAGAGATGTTCAGTTTACAGTTATTCACTCATCATGAAGCAACAGTGGAAAAGTGGTGAGAACATTAATATATATTTTTTTGTTTTTATGAATATAAAAGCGTAATTGTTTATATCATAAGTACAAATAATTTATTAAAATGTTAAAAAATCTAAAAGTATGTTTCACTGCATTTATGTAATATTTATATTTTTATTCCTATATTTTATTTACATATTTATTTATTACGAAATAACCATGCTTTGTAATATAAAAGATTATTAACGCACAAACCTATGTTAATTTATTACATTATATTGTACATATAATGAAATTTATAATGTTCTTCTAAGATATCACTTTATCTTGAAATAATGTTTATTTAAATATCATTTTTTATCACTTTAAAATGTATAAAATGTATAAATAAATAAAAATTATATTTATATTATACAGAAAAAGACGCAACTGTAGAAGAAGGATTACAACAGGAGCAACAGAGGAATATAATCAAATTCAAACATAACACCAACAATTGCAAAAAATGGATACAATACATCAAATTGATATTTTTATTAGAACTGATGTTATTCTGTGGATGGGGTTGTTACATGATCTTACGAAATTATTATTTCCAAGCAACGGAAAATGAGGTTACGGATATCATTTGTGAAAAATATCCAGTGTTCGAATCAGTGCCTGAAGAACAGAAATCACATCCAACTACAGATATGCCATATTCAAGAGTGACATTTGTCAAACCTCAAGTCACAAATAAGTTAAATAATTTTCTGGGAGTGGAATTGAGTAAAGAACAAGACAAGACAATTGAAATAGATGTAGATATTCCAACGAGTACACCGAATTCTATCAGTATGATAAGTAATAATATGGTGAAAGTAAGTAATATCAATAATATCCTGAAATCATCGCCGGAAGATTCAGTGTATGACAAAGAAATTATGAAGAATTTGATGTCATCGAAAATTTCTTCGACAACCGAATATACTGATAAAATTATTAACACTAACAATAATAAAGATTCTGTTAATTCTAAATTTTTTGAGAAACTGCAAAATATAGCTAAATCAAGCAATGATTTTCAATGGTTTGAAAACAATTATGATTTTAAGGATTTAATCAATAAGGATTTAATCAAAGATGCGGTACAAGATAATCATGATGGGGAAAGTTCTTCAAGAGATAGGAATGACGAACAAATAAATACCCCTTTCGACTCAGATCTTGTGATATGTCCACCTTATCAATCTTATGAATCATCTGATATGTCTCCAGAACATTCAATCAAAGATTCTTCGACTTCTCAAGCTGTTTCAATACCAGAATTTATAGAACAAATAAAAAATATTTATAATAATGATGGTACAGAAAATAAAGATAAACATAATACGGATGATAGCAATATGTTGATGTCAGCATCATCCGATGTATCTATGTTTGGAAGTAATGATTATTTGGATGGTTTTGAATGGCCGAATGTAATGCCAAATTTACAAGATTATCATTCAGATTATCAGTCAGAAATTACCGCAAATGTAAAACAAGAAGAAGAAAAACGTAAATTTATGAAGAATATTGAGTCTCTTTTCAATTTCGAGTTTTTGCAACCAAAAATACAAGATAGCGTAGACTCTTCGACATCAAATGACAAATTTCAGTGGTTTAATGCGCCTCCTGTCTCTGCAAATGATCTACAACTTGGATTGAAAGATATATCAGAATCGAGCCAGACACAAAATCCATCATTAGGAGATACAATTAAGGGCATGAACATTATTAACGCTTTTATTCCAGAAAAAGATAAATTTCATAATAAGTGTCAGATCGAAGTTAAACAGTTTATAATGTTCGAAATTTTCAGAATTAACTGCTCTGGAACTATGTTTGATGAACAATGGAATCTTGTCCCTCCTCCTACACTTACAACTGATTCTTCAAACGTTATTAATTCCAAAGATATTTTCGGTCTCTCTGTGGATGATTACAATAATGATTACGATAAAGATGAAAGCGAGCAATTAAAGGATGATTCTGACTTCATTTTTAATGAAAATTTTGATAAAGAAGTTACAAGCTTGCAGCACAGTGCACCTGAAGTAACCGATGGAATTACAACCAGCATGCCAAGTTTATTTGATTTTCCTTTCAAGAAATCTTTTAATAGAACAGAAATTGATAAACACGATGGAATTCATAGCTCAAATCAAGAAAAAATAAAGGAAGAAATATCCTCTTCTTCTACAACAATACCCTCTTTTACTTCTACAGCTGACTCAGATTTCAATCTCGATTTTAACACAGAGTTGCAAGAGATTTTTGATACACTACAAACAAAAAAATTAAAAGCCATAAAAGATTATTCAGATTATAGAAACATTTGCAGCATTTTTCCTCAATTATGTTCCATTCCTCCAAATTCAGATCGATTACATGTTAATTTAAAACTCTTGATACGCAATCATGATAATTCGTACTAGGACATAAACTAGGACGATTACAATTACAGAGAGAAACGGCTGATGATCTAATGAAGCTATAATGGTATATTAATTATTATATCAGAAAAAGATATATTAACATTAAATTTTGTTAATATAATTTTTTATTACTTGTAAAATATGTATTATTTATAAATGTATTATTTATAAAATAATTTTGAAAAGTTTTATGTCTCATTTTTCAGATAAAATAATTCTTATAATATTTAGAGTGAATTTACTAGTAGCTATATATAATTTCATCTTCAATATGATTTCATTAATAAATATTAGTTAATACATTGTAATTAGAGACATTTTTCAACTTCTATTTATTTATTTAAACACATGCGTGTATATTTAAATTATGTTTTTTATTTTACAGAATAAGTATCATATACATTCGAAGAAAAACGTGGACTAAACGTTTACTACAAAATTTGAAAAAACTTTTCAAAAAATGAAAAGTCTTGCTGCTTGCATTGATAGACTTCATAAACGTCTTCTTCTTAATAATAAACTGGATGATGATTATGAATATTCCTGGAATTTGCTGGAAACTAAAAGAATTTTTGCTGGAAACTAAAGAACACTGAGGATTATATACAAACATGAAAGATAAGCGGAGAAAATATATATAATATATATATATATATATATAAATAATCTTATTTTTATATACCATGTTAATTTTTTACTTCATAAATGATTTATTATTATATATATAAAATATTTAAAAATTGATATTTGCGCCGACTATCACATACATACATTTATTATAATAATTAAATATTATTATGATCAAAAAGATAAAAACGAATAATAGATACATAACACACACACACACACACACACACACACACACACACACACACACACACACACACACCACATATATATAATATACATATAAAGTATATTTCAATTATTTTTGTATCGCAATATGTTATTATATTTAATACGTAATATTTAATATGTATATTCTCTTTCACACGAAATTTGTTCGTAAAACTTGTGGATATTCGACAAAAGCATGCTATAGTATAATTAGTGCGTTGCTCATATGCCTGCGCATAGGCCTTGAACTTATTCATGCTAATTTGTTACGATTTATACATAACTGCGTTAATCCGATAATATTTTTATACATTAATTGAATGAAAATTATAATTGGCTTTTCGACGTAAAATAAAAAGGTAACATTTTGATGATTATAAAATTAGCAAAGCATAAAAGCCATATATTTTGAAAATAGTTTTCGATTATGCATAATCTTTTAAGATGTCTCTTTTACTTTAAAATAAATTCTGAATTGTAATCTTGTATTTTACTACAATCTTATATCTTACAAATGTCTTCTTTAGTATTTATACATGTACTTCTTTTGTACTTGTACAATAAAATTGCTACCGAAGGCATTAATTACTAATTCAACTGTGCGCTATATTGTTTTATTTAACGAAGATATTTATTATATGTATATTTTTCTCGAGATGTATCGATGTATCGATGTATCGTATTATTGTTTATTAAATATATAAAGTATATAAAGTAGTTTATTAAATATATAAAGTATATAAATATATAAAGTATATAATTTTGCAAATTGCACAGCATCGTACACGAAAAAGTTCAATCGATTTATTCAACAATTCTGACATTTAAACTGATCGAAAATGTTGCAAAATGTTCAAAGTTACGTAAATGGAGCGTTTAATAAAGTATGATAGCTGATCTTATCAAGTTTGTTATTGATTTGATATAGCGTTGCGCTTCTTTATTAATGTCAGCCCCCAGCCAATCACGGTTTAATCGTACTGACCTTACACCTTAAGAGTTTCGTGAAACATGCAAGATCGACCACGACAGTTCGATCAGTATTTCGATCGCCGGATGAGCATTTCGGTAAATTACCTTGTAAATCACGGCACGTCCTGCACGCGTCTTGTTAAATTTATGAATTACACGCGAGCCTTCGTGATCGATGATCGATGCAAGCCTTTTCTTGTCGAAACAAAAGAGGCAAAGCGTTTGTTGTAAAAACGACACGACAATTAAACACGGGGCTTACTGCCTACTGTAAACAAATGTGGCAAAGCGCGATGCACTTGGCGTGTAAACGAACACATTCCTTCGATTGTCTGGCCATAAAATACTGGCAACATAACGATAAATTTTCCGTCGGTTTCGTGCACACGCGGCCGGATGAGCCTCCTTTGTAATCTGCAAAGTTAACATTTCGAACGCGACTGTATTCGCTGACGAAGAGACTGCGATAACACTTAAAATGATAACAGAGAAACTGTGCTAGATACTCAGATAAATTTCTTATAAGAAATAAAGCTCTAAAGTATTAAGGAATAATGAACTTTGCGAGAAAAACGGTACTCAATTTTTGTAAATTTATTTCTATTGTATGATATTTATAAAGATAATGAACATAATTATTTTCATTATCTCTATTCATTATTTTTTAATTTTAAATGCTACGATATTGTATCTTATACTATTGATTGCTCTTGTTAGATTATTCTTAATCTAATAGAAAGTTTAGATTCAACTAAATTAAAATAACAAAGAAATAATAATACATAATGCTCTTCCTTATAATTGCAACATTGGTTATTTTCGCAAATTATTTTTTGCAGACACAAAATAGAATAATAGAAGTTTTAAAGGATTTATTTATTTTTTTAAAAGAAATGATAAAGAACATATATATTAGCAAGCAATTTAGAAATTTAATGTTTTTGATAAATAAGTTCTTTTTTATTGATTACTATAATGATAACAGATTAAATATTTGAATCGATGTATAATTTGGATTCTGGATATAAAATAATTATGGCATTTTTATGTTTTATGTTAATTCATGTGTGATATAAGACAAATTTATACTTCAAATTTAATCTTATATAATTGCGAATTATATCGTAAGAATATCGTAATAAAGATTAAAAATTTCTTCAAATCAACTAGAAAAACATTTTAGGCGTTGATACGCCTAAAGAGTAATTATGATACACTCAAAGAATAATTATTTCAAAAGCTTGAAATATAAACTTTCTTGAAAATTAAAGTTATATATATTTTAAGGACCGTTTAATTTTAAGTATAATTTGATAAGGATTGCTAAATTTCGCCCCTGATATATGAAGATCTATATTAGGAATAGATGCCAGATGATAACGATGTAGAGCAGAGAATGCTTTGAAGGGTTGTTTCCTGGCAGCGTCCTGAAAAGGAGTTAGGCTTTATATGTTGAATTCTCATAAATTTTGTTGGTAATGCTCAGCAACGCGACTCGGTAACAGTATATAGCTCTACACATCTAATCAAGTCTTTCGTGGCGATCGAAGTTCAGCCAGCCAGCTTCGTATTCAGATTCTCAAAGAAGGCGGTAAGGTAACCACCTTATGGTAGAGCATTTTCTACTTTAGTGGTGGCAGCACAGAGGGTGTTTCGTAGTGGGGGTGCTTCGAAGGCTTAAAAGGCCTTTCGACGTCCTTGTAACACGCAGTCTTAGAATCAAACATACTTGTCCCCCGCGTAAATGAATCGAAAGTGCGAGAAGTACTCTCACTTAAGTTAATCGTCGTTGATTCCACTTTCGTTGTTAGACTTTCATCGGAGTGATCTTGTGTATGGTCAGATCAATTTGTTGAAAAATTAAAAGAAAGAGTAGAGCCGAGTGGAATAAAAGTTTATGTAGAAAAGGAAGTGGCTTTCCACTTCATCTCTTTACTAGAGTCCGCATTTGTGATTTGTGACATCCTATAAGTGATAATAATTTAATTATTTGAATAAAACAATCTAGTCAAAAAATCATGAGAGACGGAATCTGTCTCCGAATAATTATATCCACACTATTGGTTGCATCAATATTTTCGCCACCAATGTCCGGTGCCCTTACTACTTTTGGGAAGACCAACCAGAATCAAAATACGAATCCACCACCGCCACCAACACCAGGTATGTATATAAATTAAATAATAAAAATTCAAAGTTATTGTGACACTAACATATATGTCTAAATAAGCATATTCTAAGAATACTTATAATATGCTATTAATAATTTATTATTTTTAACATAACGCCTTATTTATTTTAACGAAATTAATTATATCCTATCATTATTATTTCGAAGAAAAGTATTTGTTTTAAAAAATTTTTGATATATTAGATTTTTGTAGTTTTTTCACAAATAAATTATTAATTTCTATTTATGGTAGAGATATATGTTTAACAATTTAATTACAATTAATTTTAGCATCCTAATAACACATATTTATCAAACCAAACTTATAATAGATAAATATCTTAATGTATATATTTATTTTAATTTTGTTTATTGATTTCATATTAAATAGACATTCTAATTTATTTTAAAATCATAACTATAGATTTCCTATTTCTTCAATTTAGATTTTTATGTAAATATTCAAAATGCATATTTTTACGTAAAATATTCAAAAACTTCAATTTAACGTTTTTTATAAAATTGTATAGAAATTATACTCCATATTACGTATACTGTATTTACTCGATACATACATATCAAATTTAATTACATTATAAATATTATAAACGTATTTATAAGTATTATAGACTCATTTCTAAGAATATGTAATTTATTATTTAATAATCAGACGCAATTTTATATAAAATTTTATTTAAAATTGCGTAGAAATAATAATCTGATATTCTTGAGAGTCAAGGTTAAGTTGAAATGCAGATGAATACTAATGCTCTGCTGAATGTCAGAGTTCTAGTTCGTATGACTTTTGACGATTGCCATTCTAAGTTCTTCTGCTGTTTCTTATACAATCGAGATAAAATTATATTTATAGATTTTATTCCGTAAATTGTTATTCCTTGCAATATTTTTACCTTATATTTATCAGAAAAATAGGAAACCAAAAAGATAGCATTCTTCGAATAAATATTTTAAATATTAAATAAAAATATGGTATAACAAAAAAATTTAATCATAATGAACTTTAGATGTTGCTTTAATTTTATATTTGTAAATTTAATTTTTAATCGTATCTTCTGAAATAATATCACATACATTTTTTTATGGATTGAAAATGTAAAAACGTAATAAAAATTAATCAAGGATTGAATAAAACTACAGTTCCTTATATAGAATTATACGATTGCAGTTGGTAAAGCTCGTGAATGCAAAATGAAAACTGATTGTGATGGAATTCAAAATACAACGTGCATGGCGGATTCCCTTGGAAAAACCCGATGCCTCTGCGGCGATTACTCGGCACCAATTAATGGTGCCTGCACTAATAAATTCAAAGGTAGAGAGATTAGATTTTTACAATATTAATTCCATATCATCATTATTTTTAATTATTCGTTATATAATAGACAATAAGATAAAATATAATAATATAATTATATAAAGACAATAAGATAAAATTAGTTTTACTTGGCGAGATCGACTTTATTATGTAAAAGATATCCCACACAATCGACAAGTATTTCAGCAGCGTTTTCTTCAAGAAATTTGCGGAGATGGAAAATTGATTTCAGATTCGTCGAAAAACCGCTGAAATATTTTTCGATAGAATTTAAGCACGCTATATTCTGATATGTAACATAATTTTTCTTGTTCAAATTTTTGCACGACAAAATATTTCCGATGTTTTGCATGTCATTCGTTTTAATTTCGTGGAATAGTCAAACTTTGGATGGGATGATTATAACTGAAAGCCGGTACTAAGATTTGCATATACTTACGTGCTGTATTGCAATATGTGAACATATGACGGTGTTCGTACTCGGTCTATGGTTATCTATGCAAATTACAGGTACAGGTAAAGAATACCGCCCCGACCAACCTCCAATAGTTACACCGATATTACTCGTTTTTCTGCAGTGTTCCCTGCACGGCAGGAAAAACCGTAATAGTAAAACGATTATAAAAATAAAAGAAAACATTACATTTTATTATTCTTTTACAAATTATGCTGTAAAAAATATTACGAATAATATTTTACAAGTTATGAAACACACTTATATAAGTAAAAATGTCTGCATAACTGTTATATTAAATTACATCAAATGATAATAAATGATTGGTAGAAATGATAGTAATAATCGTACCTGGCACAATGCAATAAAATTGAACTACTAAATCTCAAGACTTTGAAAACTGTATAACTATACATATAGCTAAGTGATTTATAGTTCGATCGAGTAATATTAGAGGTTCGTGAAACGATCCGGAAACCTGGTAATTTTATTTGATTAGATGATCACTATGCACGTTTCCTATCTAATTTTCGGCAAAGTTGTCGATGATTACCTCGGACATTTCAAACGCAATTAACCACGGTTACAAATCGATCGCTGCTAAAGTTCTTTTAACACTATATGTTCGACCTTAAAAAATTAAATGAAGTTATGTGTATTTATACTGCAATTAAAATTTCACAAACTTATATATATATTATACATTTAATAAATTTTATTTTAATTTTATTATTATACATTTAATAAATGTTTAAAATTTTTGTAAAAGTAAATTTAAATTAAAAAAAAAACAAGAAGCGCTTGTTCTCTGATCAATTTTCTATGTACATATTGTTAAATTATCTTAAAAATTTCCTTTTCTTTAGCGCTCCATGTATCTTGCAATGATGACGGAGAGTGCATAGAAAATGCCCATTGCATTGCCCGCAACAGTTCCTTAGGAAAACGATGTTATTGCCAAGATGGATTTTATCAAGAAACTCGGTCGTTTTGTAATGGTAAGCTTTATTTGCTGTCATTTCTCTCTCTCTCTCTCTCTAAAAAAATTCTTATTGATATAGCGGACTATATCTTATTAGAAACAATATATATAGTAAGGATAATATATTATTTAATTGCGATTTCTATACATTACGTAACAATAATATTTATTATTGCTGTTTTAATGACTTACTCAAATCCTCAAAGTTTCTACAAAAATATAAGTCAAGTTTGATCATTATCATTAAAATAATAAATTTATTAAATTTTTAATGGTTACTAAAAGAAATTAATATTAATATTATAAGATAAGTTTTCTTTTTTGTACAAACCATAAAATATTCTATTAAACAAAAGAAAATATTTTATTAATTTTATTATAATTTTATTATAATTTTATTATAAGTTAATATGATGATTTTGCTATATTTAATTAATATTCAATAATATTCTCACTTAAATTTAAAACGAATATTTAACATTTGTCCCATCTTGAAAATAGCGTGTTTTAATTTTAATATGTAGTAAGAAAAATAAAATAATTTGTATTAAATATTGCTAATCATTTGCAATTAATAGAAAATATAATGAAAATAAATGTCATGTTCAGCTGTTTTAAAATTTGTAATTGTATGAATTACACAAAAAAATATGTAAAGCGTCGTCTACAATGAGATTTTAAGGAGACTTAAGGCGGAAGACTTAAGAAATTGACTAATCACAATCGAATATTCTCTTAATACTTGACTGTGATTGGTCAATTTCTTACGTCTTACGCCTTAAGTCTCCTTAAAATCTCATTGTAGACGACGCTTTATAATAACAAAAGTTTCAGTATTTTTATAAAATTAGCTATGAGAGAGACAGCTGAATATCGTTTCTTCGCGTGCAGAATGTGATGGTATTAAAAATGTATCATCAGTTTAAAACATTATTTACATCTTTCGTAGGCTGCTCATCCATCTTCACATCTATCTATACGACGACCTTTTTGGCCATTTCGCTTTTACTTGGAAGACTTAATTACATTTAAATTTCTCTTTAAGCTTTCAAAAAAATTATGTTGTCAATTCCTGAACCTGAATGATAACCTATAGTAGAGAAATAACATTTCTTCGAATCAATGAATGCGAGATTGCGAAAATATATGCTAGAATACACTTATTTATAAGAATATCGTGAATCTCGTTAATTTAACAAAGTATTTAAGTATAATATATGTATGAACGTTCAAATTCCAAATGGTAAAACACATTTATGTGTAAACAGCTATACATTTTACATCTTGAATCTAGACTGTTTCAGTAATCGCACTCTTTTTTGGGTTTATAAACTTTCAGAAAAAATAATTTTTCTTCCGCAAGAAGAAATTGAATTAACCACCTTTACTTTCGTAACAAGAACTCATATAAAATAATAAGACGTTTACATATTTCATAGATATATAGTTATTTATAACTAATTCTTTCTTTTGACATTCAAATAATTATTTTTACTTTATTTTAATAATACGAGAAAATTATACGATTCTTGGAACAGCCTATATATTACATAAAATGCACTATGTTGCAAGTATATATGTAACATCTTATATTTTCTAATTCTAATTCTCTAATTCCTTTTAAACTTGAAAATTATATCTATATTTAATCGTCTTTACAATCAACGTATATATATTGTAATCTATAAATTCTATAATCAGCGATAAGATGAGTAAAATAATACAGAAAATACGTTTAAATTATAAAATTTAAGTAGCTTTGCATTTATTTTATAAGACAATAGATAATAAGACTTTTTATTCACTATTGATTTTAAATCCATACAAATAAATTTTTCAATTTTTCAATTTTTTACAAATAAATAGATTTTTTTCTTTATCATCTTTTAAATAATTTTTATTAAAGTAAATACTATCGACTTTGTCTTACGTCATTATATGATAATTGTATGCTAATGATTACAAGTAAAGATTACAGTATCTGTCATTTATTTACTTTAATTCTCTAATTATCTACCTTAATTTTCATATTCTATTTGATAGTAATTACAACATAAATGCAAAAGATTAGAAAAAAGTATAATATTAATATAACTCAGATTAAAACTTATGATTAGATTAATTAATTAGATTATTGAATTTAACTAGCTTCAAAAGTCGAGAGAAAGAATATTGCTTTATTCGTATATTTCTGTCGTACAGAATGTACATATGATTAAATGTTTTAAGAGCATTAAAAGACAATTATTTAGAGAAATGCATAATTAATATATCTAGTATAATTTATTCTTTGATATATGTATTATATAATGTATGTGTTATATTTTCTTTCCTGTATAAAACATGTTCATTTTAATTATGTAAATCGATTTAAATGTAACGTTAAAATAAGCCTTTTTAAAAATATGAACTTTTGCCAACAATGCTTTAATTACTATTATAAATGTATTCGATAAATAATATGTTTATTATTAAACACTATTTTTTACTCTCTATTCTATCGTTTAGAGTATTTATTTAATCACAGAGATTTATTGCAAACTTTTCTTTTGTTATAATATAAGTATCTTTTGTAAACTTTGTAATGTAATAATAATTAAAAGAATATGTAGAATTAATAATTAACCTCACTATAATATCGTGTTATGTATTTGAAACATTTTGTGCACAAATAAAATCTGAATTTTTTCGAAACATTTATTCTTATGTATGACAAGTGATGATCAAAATCTCTTTATAGATTATAAGTATCTCATTTATTTCGATGTAATACACTGCGATGTAGTACATATACAAAATATTTTCTCATTGTCTCTTTTTCCTAAATACCAATTGTGTTACAGTGTTTCCTGTCTGTCCACCAAATTGAAATGTATCCGTAGGAAGTTGACTTTCGAGTTCGAAATCTGTAAAGAATAATTATTATCAAAACATATGTATCTTGAAAAATTATCTTCGCAATAACTTTTCTGGCAAATAAAAGACATATCTTCAATATATAATTATTAGAAAAATAATGATCAAAACTATATATATTAAAATGTTTATTATAAGTTGTACTAACGATTCGAAAAGTGTTTTAATAATTCTTCCTTGGTCCAATTACAGGAAGTCAATACTAAATATCCTTCCGGCAGAAGAATGCGATATATATTTTCTATATATTTCTGTCGCTTCGCTGTTGGATCTTCCGGATTTAAACTAATAGCATCATAAGTGCCTTTATCGTGAACGATTTTAAAATCATTAGGCAACGTATTATTGAGAATATCGCAGATTTCTAATTTCACATTTGGTAAATTGTTATCGTTCAACACCATACGAGCGAGATCTACCGCTTTCTGCGAGTAATCCACTCCCGTCAAGTTTGCGAATCCTTGCTTCGCGAGTTCCACCAAGGTCATTGCGTTACCGCATCCTACGTCAATTATCTTATCGCTTTCTCTGTTTAAATTTAATTTTGTGGTAATCCACCTAGAAAACGTTTGTTAATTTCAAAATTTGCACTCATAATGACTTTTTTTCATTTTTATTTTTTATATTTTCGCAGAAAATATGGTATACTTTTATTATTTCAGGAAGAAACTAAATCTTAAAATAAATTTTAATTATCTTTACCAATCTCTATGCATATCATTATCATTCAGTTGTAATAAAAAGAAATCACCAAAGCAAAATTAGTCGTTATATTTTAAAGTAAAATAATATAATACAATATAATAACTTTTTTGTTTTTGCATTTATTTTGTATATAAAGTTATAATATTATTAAAATATTCAAGTTGTAATTTTACATAACTTTTTATGTTATTTTAATACTTTCAAGCTGTACTAAGATAGATAGAAAAAAGAGAATTACCTTAATGCGAGTGTTAAATCTTAAATAATTAATATATATTAAATACATAAATATATTATCTAATTATATATTAAAAAAAAATCTCATTTCTCATTCATGAAATTATCTCTTAAAGACAGAGCACTGTTTTTATCTACAGTGGAAAAGGTTACTGTTGCAGATACCAACGGAATGCTGTCGCAAGGAAAAATAGTTTCGTAGATGGAGTTACTTGTAACGCGCGAGGAACTGCCTCGATCGCGTCGTGTTTACATTTTCGCGCGGAAGTCTATCGATTTTCCATTGTGTTGTTTACTCGCGGTGTGTAAGACGCGTGTTCGCGGTCTGTCCCTGGCTCGCTTACCGTACGATCTTGCGCGAATTGGCGGTGCCGAACCATATCTCGCCCACGTCGCCGTGATCGCGGAAGTTGTCGAGCTCCTGGGCGTACGCGTTCTCCCAGCTGCAAGAGATACGTCAAGCAAAAGCTACGAGTGATGCACAATGAACATTGTACGACCACGGTATGTGATATTACTTACAATTCGAGAGTGCCTAGATTCGATGGTGCCAATTCCTCGTTTTCGTGTTCTGTCATAATTTGATTGCGATTCTCTCAGCCTGATTGTCGTACGATAGATCCGATATGGATCAGATCTCGTCACGTCAGATGCCGATTGTCAGCTCTAATCACGTTGTTATTTAAGCTAAGAAGTGAGATAATTCGGAGTCAGGAGTGCACAAAAAACCCTGATAATATTCATTAATCGTGAAGCGATCCAACAAATTTCAATGTGGAAACAGATGGAAACAAGATTTGCGTTGCTTCGAAATTTTATGGTTAGATGGCAGTGGCATCTAATCATCTAACAAATCTTATAATTATTTATTTAAAATTAATAGAATATATATATATATATAAATAAAAAATATATCTACATATGTATATTTTCAATCTATTATTATTGACAAGACAAATTTTTTTTTTATCATGATTATTGTCATCAGTCTAGGGAAATATTCTTTATACAATTGGCAACTTTAATTTCAATTGATACTTACATTTATATCATTTCTACTTATATAAGATTGCATGCGTCTTGCGATGTGTGTCGAACCTAACCTTATCGCCGCGTCGGACTCGTCTAACGGTACATACTGTCATCGTGATAGTGCACAACGTTTTTTGTTAACTTATACAACGCAATTTTAAACTTTTAGGCTTAAATTGTCAAGTGCTATTCGTTTAAACATGAGTGTCAACAAGCTGTTAATGAATTTGTGTTTTGGTAAGTAAACAGAATGACTTAACTTTTATATCTTTTGATAACTAATTGCAATATTAAAACTGATAAGAAAATATTAATATATACAGAAAGAAAATATTTTAATATATATATAGTAATATTATATATAAATATCTCTATTTATATGTATGACATTTATAAAATTATTATCTGCAATGTTAATATTGAAGTTACAATATTTTCTTATTGGTTAAAATGATAAGCAACACATTATTTTTATCCATAGTTATTTTTTAATATTATTAATCTTAATAAGATCATAAGATTTGTAAGTTTACGAAGTAGAATACTGCCATATGTCAAGTTACAGTTTTTGTAGTCTTCGATTACAAGTGGAATAATTCTGTGCTTCAAAATTATTCTTGTTTTCATTGATTCTTGAGATGATTTACTTCTATATAATAGTTCAATGAGAAAGAATTCTATATAATAATAATATGATGTTACATAGGACAATATACAAAACTTTCCGCACGATGCTATGCTTCCGTTGCTGCAAATCTAGTAAATAATGACAGTATAAGACCAAAAACTGGCATATTAATGTTAAACATGGGTGGCCCTGCCAACATTGATCAGGTCCACGAATATTTATTAAGAATAATGACTGATCGTGATATGATTCAATTACCAGTACAAAGGTTTCTATATTTTAGCACATATATGTGATACATTAATGAGCATTATATAAAAGAGATATCTTATACAGAATTATATTACAGTAAATTAGGTCCTTGGATAGCCAAACGTCGTACTCCAGAAGTACAAAAAAAATATTCTGAGATAGGTGGTGGATCACCAATTCTGCAATGGACAAATAAACAGGGCGAACTTTTATGCAAAAAATTAAATAAAATTTCGCCTGAAACTGCACCTCACAAATATTATGTTGCCTTTCGATACGCAGATCCTCTCACAGAAGATACTCTTGAGAGGATACGCAAGTATGATTATATTATATTTTCTTAAATATAATGTAAACATCTACAATCTAAAAATTTAATGTTAGGAGATAATTTAAATTAATTATACATTTTTTTTATTTACTTTTTCAGTGATGGAGTGCAGCATACTGTTCTTTTCTCTCAATATCCTCAATATAGTTGTTCAACATCAGGTTCCAGTTTTAATGCTATATATAATTATTATAAAACTAGGTGATTATATGTTATTTGTTATTTACTTTTAGATAAGAATCATAGAAAAATTGATGTATAATTACAAATACAGCACATATTGCACATAATGTGTTTTATCATATATATTTATTCTATATTACACAGAATATATCTGAGATGTAATGATTCGAATTATGTATTATTTTCACATATATGTGTTACATAAAAATAGAAATAAATAAGATGGAGGATAGAATACATAAAAATAAAAATGTTATTAAAAATAAAACAGATAGAAATTACATCTTTGCAGAGAGTTGCCAAGTGAAATGAAATGGAGTATAATAGATAGATGGGCCACGCATCCGCTCCTTGTAAAAACCTTTGCTGAAAGGATTAAACAAGAACTTGCACAATTTCCTAGCGAAAAAAGGGACGACGTTATAATTTTATTTTCAGCTCATTCATTGCCGTTGCAGGTTGCCATTTTTAGAATAATATATATTCACTTTTCTGATCATTTAGAAATTAATGACTAGTGTTTTTCTATGACCATTAGGTTGTAAGTAGAGGAGATTCTTATCCCGCGGAAGTTGGAGCTACAGTAGCATTAGTCATGCAGGAATTAAATTACTGCAATCCATATAGTTTGGTGTGGCAATCGAAGGTATACAAGTACATGTTTAAAATTTAACGAAGCTAATTTAAAAGAAATATTGTTGATACATTATAAAGTATATATATTTAGGTTGGACCTACGGCGTGGTTAGGGCCTTTTACCGATGAAGCGTTAAAAGGCTATGTTAAGCAAGGCAAGAAAAATTTTATCTTGGTACCTATTGCATTTGTAAACGAACATATTGAAACTCTCCATGAATTGGACATAGAATACTGTCAAGAACTTGCCCATGAAGTAAGAAGCGCTCCGATATTTTATTGTCTCCATTTTGTATAACGAACGCGAAAATATTTTATGTTTAATCTTTCCAGCTCGGTATCGAAAGGATACGAAGGGCTGCGGCTCCTAACGATCACCCCATTTTCATCGACGCTTTGGCTGATATTGTTGCGTCTCATCTTAGATCGCAACAACCTATAAATCCTAAATTTTTAACGCGATGTCCGCACTGTGTAAATTTAAATTGTGAAGCTAGCAAAAGTTGGTATGCTAAAATATGTAAAATTTAATAATCATTGTAATGAAAATTTAATAATTTCAAATTATATATATATATATATATATATATATATATATATATAAGTTATGTTATGTAAAAGAATATATATTTATTAATAATTATGACGTGAAAAAATAAATAGGATATACAATATTATATATGTATGTTATATATTTTGTAAAAGCTTATATATATGTAATAATATTAACTAAATCATATCCTTTATATTTTGTTGTGTAAAACCCTTGTAAATTTCCTTAGCAATCCAGTTCAAAAATCAATTATTAAAGTGACGTTGTTAAGTCATTTATAGAGACATATAATTGTTAAAATTGTTCGCTAAAATATTTCGTTGTTTTTGATATTATAGTGGTATTTAATGTGACATTCCTGACTCTTAAATAAATATATTTAGCTATTAACATTGATTTCTTGTCGTATTTATATATCTGTTCGAGTTGCACGCATTTTTACTTTATCCATGAAGTTGAACAACGATTACATTAAATGCATCGACGATTTCGATGTTACTAAACTTAGTCTTGATGGTTTCTTCTTGAAATAATGTCACGACAATCAGACCGTAGAGATCGTATCCATTGATATAGGAAAACAGTTGTGTATTTTACATATAAACTCGATAATATTACAACCATAACACAGTCGCGCGTACAATTCCGTAAACATTTTATATATCTAATTTACAATTTTACAACAGTTTCGAAAGATACATTGCTCCTGTATTTATTTGTTCGCTATTTATTTAACGAGAGAGTAAATAAATCCGTATGAAATTGAATCTATTCTCGACTACATCGTATAAGAGTTTCGATTTCTCCTCAGGTATTTCACGACGAAGGGTTTATCCCAGCGACTTCATCATCGTCGTCGCCGTCGGAGTGCAGCCTCCGCCGCAGCCGCCGCCGTCGTCGCGCTCATCGTATCGAACGTGAGTCGCGCGGCGCTGCCTGTCGCCGCGTTAGCTATATAAATGCGCGGCGCCGGCGGGCGCGCTCAGTATGTGTCATGCGTTGCGAGTGCGAGCATCGTCCGTGATGGCGGCTAGAGTGCGGTTGAAGATTCGTCGCGGCATCGGCGTGTCACCGATCGCCGTTCTGCTTGCGGTGTACGCTATGTCGAGTCTTGTGAGTGGAATGTTCGAGCATCGACACTGCGATCACCAGCATCCACGGGCGCACGAGGTAAGCGCATCCACGAAGGGCGATTCTAACCTCTCCCCGTATGTCAACTTAGTATCCCGCGAATGCGACATTTCGATCGTTTCTCGATTCGTGAGGTATTTATTAATACATTGACGTTTGTCGATAGTATTTCTCTCTCTCTTTCTCTTTTTTTTTATCGCTTCTCAACGAGTTTTTAATTTTGTCGAAGGGAATGTTTACCAAACGCAACGAGTTCAATTGAGTATCATTCGCGGTGATATTCGTGCGGGAAAGCGCACGACTACTATGTAAATATGCGCGAGAGAAACGAAACGAAACGAAATGTTCGCTTATATCGTGTGCCGAATCCCGAATATGTTCGTACGTGTTTCCATATGGATTAATCACGTTAATATCGATTCAAACGTTTTAGCGGGTTCTCTTTATCATCTTTTATAAAATCTCGTAATATTTTGATATTGATAATAATCTAAATAAATAAATGTAATGTATATGTAATGTCGTATGATTATCATAATTATGAGTTTTTGAGATCGGAATCGCCCTGTGATATATAAATGCCATATTAAATTGTGTGTATATTTGATTCTCATACATTTTTTGCGATACTCCCATCTTTTACTGACAGAAAACTTGGGTGAATGTTTTCATGCGCGGTGTAAGAGTAGGGAGAAACACGTGTTTTCACGGCAGACACGTGCTGCTGTGGAATGTCTCGCCGTATAATCTCTAATAGTTCGCGCGTCACGTTTTACGAACAATTGATCTTGTTAATGTGTTTACGTTTATTCAGTATTTAAAATATATTTTATTATTGATATCAATTTGCGTGTTATATTTTTTTTATTCTTCTTTTCGTTCAACCTTGACGTTACATTGATATGTAATAAACAATTAAAAAATATATCGCGCGAGCGAACAAAATTAAAAAAAAAAGGAAGTTAATAATATATAATATTGGAGAGAGAATAAAAGAGAGGTATAAAGATTTAATTTACGAACAATATATATAAAGAGATGGGTTATTATAGATTATATTATATCATTGCAGGTAAGGCAATTATAATAAATATATTTTAAGAAAAATCAATGCACTTGTATATTTTGTCATTGGTTTGTTCATTTTGTATATCAATCGTTTATACTGTTTCATACTATTTCAGGGGAAAATGAAGTTATTAAATCAAATATATGTAAGACAAAGAATAATTTAATTTCTTATCAAATGTCTTCGTATATTTTGAAAACCATTTAAAGTTTTAAACATTTTATTGATATAATTTTTCTAATCTTTTATTAAAATTTCATCATTTATCATGATTATGTATTCTTTAGAATACTACTGAAATACTAATGACATAGCACAAATTTTATTTAATGATCAATCAATAATGTAACAATTGTATCATTGATGAATATTAATTATTATAATTATATATATATTGTTTGTTATCGAATATGAATATTTATTGATTTATAAAGTATCGCATTATCTAGCATTACATTTTATTGCTATTGAATAAAATTATCAAGACAGCAATAGCTTTTATATTACAAACGTTTAAAAATGAAAGATTTTTCATATTTTTTTAGTACTTAATTTAATTGTCAGATTGAATTTTTTAGTTAATTTTAAAAATATATTCTATTGTAATTGAACTTTAATTAGAGGCTTTATTACATAATAATAATTTTAGAAAATATTGAAGAAAGTTATCAAACTTTAATTAGAGAAAAATTAACTGCGTTTTGATAAAAAATTCTGGACAGGAAAGAAAAAAATAGCGAAACTTATGAAATATACTGTATCGAAGGATTTGTACCATTATTAGAAACTGTAGTAATTTTAATTTTAACTGTTGTAAATTTTAATTTTTTTTTCTTTTTAAACACGGGCTATTTTTTGCATGACAGAAAACAATCAACGGATACAAGTTTGAAGTTTGAAATCGCTGGTGAATAGACAAGCCGTCATTTCCATTTTGATCTTTTTTGTTTTCAAAAAAATAGAATCGATTTGCAGGATTAGAATAGGACGGCTAGTGTACAGATGATTTTTTATTCGCCGAACGAAGTAACTTGATTAACTTTTCACTCGATTATATTTAGCAATTTTCGTTCGCCGACGTTGATATAATATGCTAAAAATATTTTTAAAAATACAAACATCACGAATTTCTTAATTTCATCTAATTGAGAAGTTGAGATAGACTTTCTCTCATAGAAATAAATTTTCTTAAATTGTCAGATATCTATAATATCGGACATTTTGAGAGTAAATTTTTAAGTTTGTGATTAGTATGATGTATTTTATATTAAATATTTAACATATAGCAATTGTGTGTGCTTTTTTTTAATTCATATGTAAGAATTTTGTTATTTTAAAATACAAATCGAAATTAAAAATTTATTTTCTATCAAAAAGTTTGTTTTCTTATAATTATAATTATAAAAAAATTGTTCACACACACACACACACATATAAAATTAGATAAAAAATTAAAATATTCCAATAGCAGAATATTGTGCCTCTGGCAACTTTAATATTTTAACGTTTTTGACGATTCTGTTGTTAACATATAAGAGTTATTTAAAAATTCATAACATTACATATGTAACATTTACAATAAATAATTTTATTTCTAGTTTGTTTTTTTTTTCATCCAATAAAAAAATTAAATGTTAAAATCTTTTTATTTGAATAAAAGTAAAAGGATTTTAACATTGAATTTTTTTATAGGAAGAAAACGAACAAACTGAAAATGTAATTACCGTGCCTGTCATACATGTTATATTATTCATTTTTAATATTACATTAAATAATACTATATTAAACAATATCGTGGTCGATAAATCGATTTTTTTTTCTCCCATTAGAATTTACATTTGTAATGCAACTGTATCGCTGTACAAATTAGTCTTTCTAACGGTAGATGGATTACTGCATTTAGTCGAAGTATATGGTAGCGTTTTTTACATGGATGTATTCGCTTTAAGGACCATTTCAAAGAGAATTTGAATGCCAATATAAAAGTTTACGGTCGACATATAGCCTCCTGCTCGTGCTTGCTCCTCTTATGACATCTCGTACCAGCGTTCGCCAAACTTTTCTATCCGACGATCTCGCCGCCGTCACGTACCGATTTTGCATTCTTTTAAAGATATAATTCACATTTTGATACGATCGTTCTTTTATTCTCGTAAAGAGCCCGACGAAAGAAGGTGCAATTGAGTTACGCGTTCGTTCCTGGCGATCAGCCAGCTGTTTACCACTTACTCTTTCTTTTCCACCAATCAAATAATACACGAAAATTGGAACATATCTTGGTGCACAAATCGATATTATATGCAGTATGAATTTCTCTGTAAATCTTGCTGTAGGAAAAATAACTTTCATATTTTTTTCTTTGCATAAATTACACGATATAATTATAAAAAGTTTTTTCTGAAAACTGCAATTTTAAGTTATAAATTTTACGATAAAAATTAATTAAAACATTGAAATTAAATGAATCGTATGAGATGGAACGTATGAGATCGTCGTGTTACGATTTAGATCTGTTTGCCATAATGGAATTGCAATCGTAATATCTATGAAAGAAGTAATTATACGCGTAACATCTCGTAATCCGTTTTCATCGCGAGAAGTGTCGAGTTTTCATTACGATTATCCTCGTAATTTTCTAGTAGCAAGAAGAATGTACGCGAAAGTGTCAAGTTTTCATTACGATTATCGGAAGTACTTCGTGCTCTCTTGCAGTCGTGGCGGAAATAAAAGTAAAACGTAGATCGCACGATTCCGTAGGAAAAACTTTCCTACGAGCGCTTCAATGAAAGTGTACGGGAATGGAATTTTGCCGACGCACATATATACGTAGCTCGGTATTTTTCTCTAGCACTGATTTATTTACGAGGCGGTCGGCTGAAATCTCGTGTGCAAGGAGGTTATTAAGAAACTCGATTCCCATCAAAGTTTATGGGCTTCGTGAGACGTGCAGTGATATACGCGACGGCGAAGAGTTCAAGAGAAAGAGGACATCATAGAAACTCGAACACGCGAGCTCTCTATATTGAATTTTTTTCACGATTCCTTCGATTCGGATCAATCGATCGAGTGTTACGATCCGTCTCGCATTGACAAATTAGAGATAAATTTCGCGTGATGAGTTATCGAATATTGATATATTTTTACTCAATCGTTATTAATGCATGTCTCGTTGGAAGGAATTTTATTTTGCATACGCATACACACAAGTACACATTTTGTTTATTATAAAATATTCAACGATCTTTAATGTGATTGGATTTGGAGATAAAAAATGCATATTTATTTAATTTTGATCATAAAAAGTTAAACAATTTTAATGCGTTACATATAAGTATTTGTAGGAATTAACGCTTATTGCTTAAATGAAGTCTCGTTAAGTTTCACAATAATTCTGTTTTAAAGTACCGTTAACATTGTACAAATTTACTTGTTAAATTTTTCTTTGAAAAACATTTTGCATAATGTTGCATATCACAGAATTTTTTTAGGAACTGTTAAATGTTACTATTTTAACGCAGTATTAAATTTATTAATTACAGTACGTTAAAAATTGTTATTTAAAATTCAATATATTCTACACGAAATATGTGTAAATTTCAAATAATTATTTTTGTGAAACTTGACTTTCTTGACACTGATAAACTGGCGAGTTTAGTTTTGAAATAATGATAATATGTGATAAAGTTAAAAAACGAGAATGTACTGGAACATAAATACATTTACGTAATTTTAAGCTGTTATGTTGCAGTTTTTTCTAAATGAATAAATATAATAATTAAGTTGAATAATTACATTAAGAAATTAATAAAATAGTAGTGTGTAGTTATTTGTTATAATTTAATTTAAACATAAAAATGATATAAAAAAATAAGAGCATATAATTACATAAAATATCACATTATGTATATTAAAGATCATGTGTTTTAAAAAAATACAACAAGAAGTTTATTATAGTAAGACGTATTTATAA